TAGTATTAGTACTAGTTTTAGCATTAGTATGAGTTTTAGTATTAGTATTAGTATTGGTATTAGTATTAGTATTAGTATTAGTATGAGTATTAGTATTAGTATTAGTATTAGTATTAGTATTAGTATTAGTATTAGTATTAGTATTAGTATTCGTATTATTATTAGTACTAGTAACAGCATTAGAAGTATCACTATGATTATTAGTAGTAGTAGTATTAGTAGTATGTTTATTATTCTTGCTAGTATTATTATTATCATTATATTAGTCGTATTCGAAAGTTTTAGTAATAGTACTATTACTGTTATTCCAACTAGACCTACTACTATTAAGATTAGTAGTATGAGGATTAGTAGTAGTAGTAATATTTATATCATTATGACGATTATTGATATTATGAATACTACTATTGTTCGTATTAGTACTGTTAGTAGTATTAACTAGTATTAGTGTTATTACTACTGGGATTAGTATCAGTATTAGTATTAGTATGAGTGCTGTTATTATTATGGATGGGATTATCATGGGTAACATTCCTCTCATTATTACTGTTATTCCTATTATTCTTACTATTATCATTATTGCTACCATTCCTCATCCTCCTCCTCCTCCTCCGCCTCCTCCTCCTCCTTCTCCTCCTCCTCAATCCTCGATTACTAACCTCCTCCTCCTGCCCCTCCCCCTCCTCCTCCCCCTCCTCCTCCTCCTCCGCCTCATCCTCGACCCTCCGGAGTGCAGCACCCGGCCTTGTTCACGTCCAGGTGCAGCAGCAGGGGCGCGGAGCGCGGGCCGCCCAGCCCCGCCATCGGCGCGGGCGGCGGCGCATCGCCCCCGAGCCGGGGCGGGGCCCATGCCGCAACGGCTGCGGGCGGCTGGCGGCGGCTGGCGGCGGCTGCCGGGGCGGCCACTGTGAAGTCGGGCGTGTCCCCCTACGGGCGGATTTTAGACGAAAACTATTAGTAGTAAGAAGAATACTAATGATTATAATTATACTAAGAATAAGAATAATAAGAGTAACAAAAACAATAACTTATAAAATGTTCAACAACAATGATATGAAAAAAATCTACAAAATAGTCGTTAGAGGGACACGCCCGACTTAACGCGACTGGCCGCGTAACGATCGGCCCCTCACCGAAAAAAGCAGGCCCAAAATAGGAAACCGAACTCTATGCGGCAGGTTCGTGAGGCGTCGGCGCGCGCGCTCCAAGGCTTTTGACACCGCGTCGATGCTTCAACCTGGAACCGATCGCGGCCCCGGTCGTTCAAGGTTGAATCCCGTCGGGTCAGTGGCGTCACCGTGTCCCTCGGTGCTTCCGCGTCGCAGAATTCAACCTCGAGCGCATTCGCCAGCGTCGCTGGCGCGCCAACGCCGCATGAACCTACCGTACACCGACATTTTGTTCCAGCCCTGCACGGAAAATTGCACAGGAAAGAGGATCCAGGTATATACGGGACCCTGGTGTATACATTTTCCATCGGTTCCCTGCAAAAAAAAGTTAAAAACAAAGTATACACTACACCACCCCGACGTCGTCCCCGACCCTCGAAAAAGTCCTCGGATTGCAAAACAGCCCGCCACTGGAAATGTATATGCTCCAGTTTTCGACCAAACCGATCGTCATCTTCCTGCTCCCCTCGTCCTCCCGGCGCGCATTTGGCGCGTCGTCGCTGTCTTGTCGCGCGTATGGCGCCTCTTCTGACTAATGCGATTGGCGTTACTCGCACGCTCGCCAACTGTCTTGCCCACGCGCGTTCTACGTATGGCTGCTTCGTTCGTTCGCTCGTGCCCACGCTGGACATAGAGTAGCAGCTCTCTGTCACTCTGCGGTTCAGAAATGATGGGCCACGTCTGCATCGCAGAGAGGAGGGCCGGGGAGGGGCATGCCACTTCTGAAAGAGCCTTGCCCCGATGTGTGGAGGCCCTGATTCCCGCGGCGACCTCCAAAAACGACCCAGAGGTTAGATTCGGGTTCGATTATCACGCAGCGAGCGACGCCGACGCCGACCCTGAGATTTTGGAGGCCTCTTAGAGCCACAGAGTCCCCCAGAATATCCCCAAGAGGCCACCAAGAAGGCCGCCCCACTACGGCCCCGAGATGCCTCCAAGAGTCTCCCAGAGCGCGACTGCATGCTGCTGCATTTCCCTGCTCAGGGCAGCTCGCCTGGTGACTTGTTTGTGGATGGGCTGACGAGAGCACTCGAAGTGCAAAGAATGCTGTCACACAGAGCAGTTCGCAGCCACCCAGGCTCTTGCGAGGTCTCGACTGGGTCCGCCGCGTACTCCGCTGCTCCGCCGGGCCTCTCAGGAGCCCACGCAAATGGCGACAGTTGCGCTGTTCGCAGCCCCCTGGGGAGCTGCGGCAGCTGCGAGGTCTCGGCTGGGTCCGCGTACTCCGCTACTCCGCCGCACCTCCCGGGAGCCCACGAAAGCGGCGACGCCTGCGCTCACAGATCGATCTGGCGCGACAGACGCCGCAGAAAAACTGTCTCGGGTTCCAGGTCGTGATTTTTCACGATGCTGTGTGTTTGTTCGCGACGCTGGTGGCGACGGCGACGGCGGAGACGACGGCGATGGAGGTACAGATTGGTTGGAAGCCATTGGGCCCTTTGGGGGCCTCTGGGGAACGTGAGGAAGGGAGAGGGTCCTATTCCTCCTCCTCCTCCTCCTCCTCCAACTCCTCCTCCTCCTCCTCCTCCTCCTCCTCCTCCTCCTCCTCATCATCATCATCATCATCATCATCATCATCATCATCATCATCATCATCAACAGCATCAGCATCAGCATCAGCATCAGCATCATCATCAGCAGCAGCATCATCAGCAGCAGCATCATCATCATCAGCATCATCATCATATCTATCATATCTGTCGTCATCATCATCATCATCAGCAGCATCGCATCATCATCATCATCATCATCATCATCATCATCATCATCATCATCATCATCATCATCATCATCATCATCATCATCATCATCATCATCATCATCATCATCATCATCATCATCATCATCATCATCATCATCATCATGATCAGCATCATCAGCATCATCATCATCATCACCACCATCATCATCATCATCATCATCATCATCATGATCATCATCATCCATACACCTCCCTCCCCCCTCTTCCTAATCCTCCTCCTCATCCTCCTCCTCCGCCTCCTCCTCTTCCTCCTCTTCCTCCTTCTCCTCCTCCTCCTCATCATCATCATCCTCCTCGCGACTCTGGCGGGTTGGAGCACCGGTGGAAGCGTGAACGCGTAGTTGGCCTCGCAAGCCAAAGCAAGGTACGAGCCCATCTTCGAGGCGTCGGTGCCGCTGATCCTCCGCTGCGCGGCTTGGTTCTGAGACAACCACGTTTCGCCTACGAGGCTTCAGCTAGCCTGGCTGGCGCTGGAGGCCGACGTGCTGGAGCAGCATTTCTAGCCCCTGGCCAATGGCCCGATCTCGGCGACCTGGCTGACGCTCCGCCGCGTGGGCTGGGACGTGGCTCCGTCCACGCAGATCCGCTCGGGCATCGGCGCGGTCTCTGGCTTTGCTGCAGGTCTGCCCCGAGGACCTGCGCCACCACGCCTTCCTGGGCGTGCAGCGCTGGCAGCGTGCCCGCGCGGCGCAGCACGAGCACCTCCCTCTGGCAGACGGGAGGAGGAGGAGGAGGAGGAGGAGGAGGAGGAGGAGGAGGAGGAGGAGGAGGAGGAGGGCCCTGCCTTGCCGAGGGGAGCAGAGAACATTCCTGGGCGTCCACCTCCCTCTGGCAGACGGGTGTGGATGCGAGAGAGGCCCCACGCCTGGGCCCGCGGAGCCGGCGGCGCCATGCCAGGCGCTGCGGTCGGGGCGCCGCGCCACGCCCGAGCGTCGCGAGGCGCTGGATAGGGGAGCAAATGCGAACCGTACCCCTACCCCCACGATTTCTGAGGGGGAGGGTGGGGTTCACTTCGCTCGGGAGCTCCTGGACGAAGTGAACCCCACCCCCTCACTCAGAAACCAATGAGGGTAGGGGTAGGGTTCGCATGTGGCCCCCTACTGGAATGCGTCGGCGGCCCGAGGTGCCGTGCTTGCGGGGCCGCAGCGGGAACCCGCGGTCACACGTGGTGCCAATGCCCCAGCCTGCTCACCCAGACCGCCGACCAGCCAGCCTCGCCTGAGATCTCCGACTCGATGCTGGGAACGAGGCAGAAGCTGGCCGATCTTGGAGCCTTGGCGGATGTTGAGTCCACTGCGTGCGCGTACGATGTCGCCTCTGTGCCGCGCGTTGTTCTGTGCCGCCCGCTGCAGCAGCTTCACCTGTTCTGCTCTGGGGAGATGGTGCTCCCGATCGCTGGGGCCTCGAAGCCTGTACAGATGGGTCGGGCCTCGCAAGCGCCATGAACGAGGTGACGCGTTGTGGCCATTCGACGGTGCAGCTACTTAAACGACCAGCTCCTCCCTGAGAGCCGAGAGGTAGGTGATTCACCCTTGCTGGAGCACGCCACTCGCCGCATCGAGCTCGTCGTGTCGGACCTGTCGTCGTTGGTGGCGGAGGGGTCATCATGCGATCGGTCTCTCGAATCTGCGAGGGGCAAGCCTGCTCGAATCTGGCGCAAGATGTTCCAAGCGCGCGGGCCCTCAGGTTCCCGGTTTTCCTGGATCAACTTGAAGGCCCTGGGCCAGAGGCTCCCCTCAGGTGGTGGGTGGGATACATGTGGGCCGGCTGGTTCGCGAAGCTCGGAGCCCACAAACACGTGGTTCCCCATGGCCTCTGCAATTGTGCGTCGGCCGAGCTCAAGCGGGCTCGGGCCGTTCTGGACCAGTGTTCGGTGGGAAGCACAAAGACATACTAGTACTATATGTCCTCCTTGGAGGCGCGCGTCCGACCCGAACATATAGTATACCCATCTTGTAGTATATCGTTTCCCGAGCGGTGTGGCCAGAAAGCGCCCCCCACGACGCATATACTATAAGATTTCTCGGTGCGCGCGTCGCCTCCGGGGGGGGCGAAGCACATATAGTATAAGTATGTTAGGGTGGTGCCGATTCGGGCGATGGATCTGGACCTCTGGCACGATGGGCGAGCGGCCACCGTAAGGAGGCCTCCCGTCCTGGCGCCCTCGAATGCTCTCGGCGTGATGCAACACGACCTCGTGTGGGTCGAACCGCCGTTGTAAGGTTTGCGCCTGCGTGACCCGCACGGACGGTCACTTGGCGCACCTGCTCTCTGGCAAGTGCTCCCCTTCCCCGACCGACAGCTGGTGTTCACATAAGTTCTTCCTGCGGTCGGGGTCGCGCTCAAAGCTCCGCGGTTTTCGTGGCATTGGCGCCACCTATGGGGTCCTGGGGCCGATGGTGCCAACCCTCACGCAGGACCAGAGTTCTGTGCGCGAGCTTTTCCGTGCGAAGGGGCACGAGACCTTTGCACACGCCCGTGTCGCGAGCTGCACAACGTGTGGGGCCTCCTGCTCGAGGCCGAAGCTGCCCGACCGTGGAGCCTCGGAGAGTTTTGAGTCCACCGAATGCGCATACGGTATATCCTCCGTGCCGCACGCTTTTCCTCCTCCTCGTCCTCCTCATCCTCCTCCTCATCCGCCTCCGCCTCCGCCTCCGCCTCCTCCTCCCCCGCCTCCTCATCCTCCTCATCATCATCCACCTCCTCCTCCTCCTCCACCTTCTCCTCCTGCTCCTCCTCCTCCTCCGCCCTCCTCCGCCCTCCTCCTCCCTCCTCCTCCCTCCTCCTCCCTCCGCCTCATCCTCCCCCGCCTCCTCATCCTCCTCATCATCATCCACCTCCTCCTCCTCCTCCACCTTCTCCTCCTGCTCCTCCTCCTCCTCCGCCCTCCTCCGCCCTCCTCCTCCTCCTCCTCCTCCTCCTCCTCCTCCTCCTCCTCCTCCTCCTCCTCCTCATCATCATCATCATCATCATCATCATCCGCCTCCGCCAACCCTCCTCCTCATCCTCCTCATCCTCCTCATCATCATCACCATCCGCATCCTCCTCTTATGTGTAATCGTATTAATACTCGTATTATTAGTCGTAGTAATATTAATTGATATGATCAGTATCATAATTACGCTCATGACTACTTGTGTTATTATTGTATTTCGTGATAGTAGTCGTAGTGTGGGCATTCGGTGTTTGTAATAGTAGTAACAATCCTATTAGTATTCGACTTGGTATTAGTATTAGTAACAGTATTAGCATTCGCATTCGTATTAGTATTAGTAGTAGTAGTAGTAGTAGTAGTGGTAGTAGTATTGGTTGTGGTATTAGTAGTAATATTCGCATGAGTATGAGTATTAGCATTAGGATTACTCGCAGCATCAGTTTTAGTATTAGTGATCGTAGCCGTAGGAATATTAATATGAATATTAGTATTAACATTAACCTTAGTATTAGTATTAATATTAGTATTGGTAATAGTGTTAATACTAGTATTAGTAGTATTAGTATTAGTATTAGTATTAGTATTAGTAGTAGTAGTAGTAGTATTAGTATTAGTATTAGTATCAGTATTAGTATTAGTATTAGTATTAGTATTAGTACTAGTACTAGTACTAGTATTAGTATTAGTACTAGTATTAGTATTTGCACTAGTACTAGTACTAGTGCTAGTGTTAGTATTCGTATTAATATCAGTGACAGTATTAGTATTAGTATTAGTAGTAGTAATAGTATTAGTATTAGTACTAGTATTAGTATTAATATTAGTATGAGTATTAGTGTTAGTGTTAGTAATAGTAGTAATATTAGTATGAGTATGAATCTGAGTACCAATATTACTATTAGTAGTGGCATTAGTGTTACTATTAGTACTAGTGTTAGTATCCGTGTTACTACTAGTACGAGTGCTAGTATTGGTCCGGGTACCAGTATTACTACTAGTGTTGGAATTGGCATTAGCAGTAGTATTAGTATCAGTATTAGCAGTAGTATGAGTAGTAATATTAATATTAATATCAGTACCAGTAATAGTATTTAGTAGTAGTACTAGTACTGGTATTAGTATTAGTATCAGTAGTAGTATTCGTATGAGTAGCATTAGTGATATTACTATTAGCATTAGTATTCACATTAACTATTAACATTAATATCAATCTTAGTATGGGTATTAGTAGTAGTCTTAGTGTTAGTATTAGCATGTGGCTCAGCATTCGCATTCGTATTAGTATGATTAGTAATGTTAGTAGTAATATTCGCATTCGTATTAGTATTAGAATTAGTAGTAGCATTAGTATGCGTATTAGTATGAGTATGAGTACTCGTAATAGTATTAGTGTTAGTGTTCGTATTAGTGTTGGTATTAGTAGTGGTATTAGCATTAATATTAGCATTAATATCAGTATTAGTATTAGTACTAGTATTAGTATTAGTATTAGTAGTAGTATGAGTATAAGTATGAGCATTAGTATTAGCATTCGTATTCGCAGTAGTATTAGTACCAGTGCTAGTGTTAGTATTAGTACAGTGTTAACTGTAGTAGCAGTAGTAGAATGTGCATCAAAAATGGTAATGAAGCCTTAGTTTTAGTAGCCGTACGATTGTTATCATCCTTAGCACTACTAGTACTTAGTGGTATTAGCATTAGCATTAGGAGTGCTATTTATAGTGACGGTATTCATATACTATGGATTAGCCCGTCGCTTCCTCATCATCCTCCTCCTCTGATTCGTCGTATTCCTCTTCATTATCTTCGTATTGATGATGGTTCTTAAGGTTATGCGTAGTCGCAGTCTGCCCTTAGTGTTATAAGTAGTATTAGTAGTATGAGTCTCGGCAGTCTTGTTATCAATATTATCATGATTGTTCGCCCCCGTGTGCTTAACATCAGTAACCTTATCCTTAGTACTTATACCTATATGGTTATTATGATTCGTCTGCTTATCCTTCTGATTACCAATCATATCAATCGTAGATTTCTGATGAGTAGGATTCGTACTAGTATTGTTCTTGGTATGATTGTTCGTATTAGTGTTGTTGTCATTTGCATTATTGATATTAGCTTTATTAGTGGGTGTCTTCGTATTCTGCTTATCAATCGTACTCGTAATATTCGTGTCATTATGAGTCTTATTATTAGTATGCTTAGCCTCACTCTTCTTAGTCTTACGATTCTTCTTATTCGTAGTAGTATGCTTCTTCTTGGTCCTCCTCCTCCTCCGCCGCCACCACCGCCACCGCCGCATCCTCCTCCTCATCCTCCTCCTCCTCATCATCATCATCCTCCTCGCCTCCGCACCGCACGCTTATTTTGCTGTCGTGAGCTGCACACTGCCTGGGATCTCCTGCTCGAGAGGCTTTGTTTGGTGGGCGGGACGGAGCGGCCTCGACGCAGCTTGCGCGGAGGCCCCCCTTTCCGAGCCTCGGGATGTGGCCGCTTCTCGGGAGGAGGAGGAGCAGGAGGAGGAGGAGCAGGAGCAGGAGCAGGAGGAGAAGCAGGAGCAGGAGCAGGAGGAGGAGGAGCATTAGGGCGAGGAGGAGGAGCAACAGGAGGAGGAGGAGGAGCAGGAGGAGGAGGAGCAGGAGGAGGAGGAGGAAGAGGACGAGGAGCAGGAGGAGCAGGGGCTTCACCCCAAGACTGGGGGCCCCAGTACATAATCGATGCAGTGCTATTGTGCTATCGGCACCCTTGGCCTTGAGCCAAAGACAGCAACGTTTGAAGGCGGCCTCACGCCTCATCCATGCTTTAGGTGCCTTCGTGGTCGTTGAACGCGATTTCCTCTGGCGCTCTCGTCGAGTTCTGACTGCCAGTGAACAGACGACTGTCAGTCTAAAATGGTCGGTGTCTGTCTTCAGAGTTTAGTGTAAGATGGACTTTCTGCGTTCTGGTTCCAGCCAGTGCCCATGTTTGGGCATCGGACTTCTGGGCGGCGTGCCTCTGCTCCTCCTCCTCCTCCTCCTCATCCTCATCATCATCCTCATCCTCATCATCATCCTCATCATCATCCTTTTCCTCCTCCTTCTAGTTCGAGGTGCGCGAGACGACCAGACTACATCCAGAAAACAAAGGTGCAAACCTGTGAAGCAATTACACAGAAGGAAGTCGCTTCCTTTCCTAAACGGGGCTCTCCCTGGGGACTTCATTGAAACTGTGTGAACCAACCTCTTTGTAGTCTAGCTAGACGGATGCAGGGCGGTGCCTTTTTGAATCAGCCTAAACGGCTGGCCCACGGGGCCCTCGTCTGTCAAGATGGCGCGTCCCACGGTGACAAGGCACACTGGAAGGGACCCGTCAGCATGGGATTTGGGGCGGGAGGGTGCGTTGCGGCATCGTTAACGCATCCTGGCTTCACTCTGGGCCTCCTCCTTCTCCTCCCATGACGCCGACAGCGTCGACAACGACGACAACGACTCCGACGAAACACGACGACACAAACAACGGCAACGACTGCGACGCAAACAACAGCCACGACGACGACGATCACAGCGCCGCCGACGAAAACGTCAACGACCGACGCCGAAGAACGACGGCGACGACGTCGAAAAACGGTGGCGGCGACGACGGCCACGAGCACGACGGCAACGACGGCGGCGACGATCGCTGAGGTGTTGCCCAAGGTGCCCCCAGCCCGAGCTGTCCCCAGGATGTCCATGCAAGCCCCTACGGCCTCCAGAGCACCCCTCCACGAGGCTCAAGAGTGCCCGGGGGCGAAAGGCTGGGGACACCGTGTGCCAGGAACACTCCTGGCAACACGACACCCTGACCGAGGAGGATCGAGGAGGATCGAGAAGGAGGGGAGACAAAAAGGTACCTATACCGCTACCCGCCGGACCTCTCCCGGGGTGCGTTCTGACCAGAACTTCGAGGCGAATCCAAAGGTGGCGACGGGGGCCTCCCGGGAGGCACAAAATTGCGAAAACGAACGATGGGTAGGGGTAGGGGGTACCGTCTCCTCCTCCGAGGAGGGGCCCAGCAGCTAAAGGGCAAGTCTAGGGTGCAGAGGGCACGGCTTAGGTGCTCCAGCGGAGTGCTCACGGGCCACCGCGACGGCGGCCCGTGAGGAAGAGGAAGAAGAGGAGG